ATCGAGAGTAGAGAATAACAAAGACTTTTAAGATTTATCAAAACTTTCAAGAAACAATATCAATTAAGACTCGAGACTAACCAAGGCTCAATATTAATCAAAACTCAAGATTAACCAAGATTCAATATTAATCAATATTCAATACTAACCAAGACTTAATTTTATTAATCCAAATTCAAGAATAAGAAAGACTTTTAAGATTTATCGAGACTTCCAAAATTTATGATTAACTGAAACTTCCAATAGTAATTAAGACATTCAAAAGATTTTCAATATTAATCAGGATTAATCAAGATTAACCAACTCTTTTAAGATTCATCAAGATTTTCAAAAGCTTCGAGACTTTAAAAAGTTTCAAGACTTTCAAGGCATTTGAAATTTAAGATTGAAACCAAAGCCTTACAAGACAATCTTATTGGGCTATTGAAAAATTCAAGACTAACTAAGCTCTCCAAAACTTTTCGAAGCTTTCAAGAATTCTGATCTTCGAATCACGTTCGAGGTGATTCGAATTTATTATAAAATGTACAATAACAGCTTACAAAGTATCTCAGATCTTGTCACTCGTTCAAATTCGTTTCGTTATTTATCGCGTAGTCAACGTCGTAAACTTACTTCGTCGTTATTTTACAAATTTCTCTGTCGAGAACGCATCTCGTGATAAGGCACGATCAATGATTCTTCGAATTTTGTGCTTGAAATGAGTGAATTGACTCTATCGTACGATCACGTTCTCGTTTTGATTTCAATTTGAGCAGGTTTGTTCTTATCCTCACTGACACTCTATCCTCGACTGACTTCGTACACGGTCGTTGCCTGCTGGTACACCTATGAACTACCTAAAACTCTTGCCAGAACTAGTGTGCAGAAACAAGTTCGTTAACATGCATTCGGTACTCAAGGTAAAAATGTATCAAATTCACTGTTTACGACCCGATGCGTCGGCCGGATCTTTTTAAATCCGTCAGCAGTCTGTCTTTCGTACTTTCAAACACATGATTAATAGAAAGACAGACTGAACGCGAGGAGAATTTTCCAAAATACAGGCTCACGTAACTCTGCGTAGAGTTCTATACATACATACATACATACATACATACATACATATATATATATATATTTCTCTACGATACAGTTCCTCTCTTAGAGCTCACACTTGAAAAACGAGTCTTTCTTTTGATCACTCGAGTTCTCCATTGCGTGATGAAGCACACGACTTGCAGAGTGATTTCTTCTTCCCAAGAGATTTCTTCTCTTCACATATTACTTTTCTCTCTACTGATGTGCCTATATAAAGAAAGCAGTTGTGTTGGTGAGATTCCTATTTACAACCTATAATGTTACCACTTCCAAATGAAATTCTCCAAAAATTTCCTCCTTTGTTAAACGTATCCATGAAATAACTACTCTTCTAGAGACTCAAGAGATCTCTTCCTTCGTTAAATATACCATATATCCAAGAAGAAATTGTTCGTTTCTATTCCTACTTTTATTGCCATCATCCAAGGCAAATCTCCCAGAAAACATAAAACAGAGACTGGACTGTCCTCTGCAAGCCGTGCATATGTCACTCCTTCCTGTAATTCCTAATGTTAACGTGGGTCAGTCAGGTACCTCGACGAGTGATGCAGATTGTGATAAGATCTACTTCTCCTATGATCCCTGTTCAGTTGATTCGCTGGACTCTGAGACGGATATGGTCCCAAGTACGACACTGTTCTCGCTGCTCGGCGCTCCTGCTCGTTCGGTGCTCCTTCCCGACTCGTCCCAGAATAATCTGGAGGAGGTGCAGCTGCTGGCACAGCTGTCTGAAACTGCGACACGCCGTAGAGGACGCCTATGGACCTCCTCCAGACGTCGTGCCTCCTCTGGTTCTCCTGCTCCAGCTGACCTTCCCTTCGTCTGCTTTGAGAAGAACCGCTTTCCGTAGAGTTGCTGTCTTCGCTGGTTCCTAGGCCAGGATCTCTGTCCTCGAAGGCGGCTAGACTCGTCGCGGGACTGCCCTGGAGGCTCTTGGCATTGCCAGAAGAGTGATAGTAAGTCAGCGTTGGATGAGGGATCACATAGGGCTGCTGAAGTTTGCAGTTCAGATCCTTCTCCACGTCTTTTTTGTCTGACTCTGTCTCGTCCTTGTAGGACGAAGGGCCGAACAAAGAGAGTAGAACGGGGAGTAGGAACATCCCATGCATAGCTCCTATGAATATCACGAGGAACACCATTTTGAAGAACACCATGAAGATGTACGTTCCAGCCAGGACCAAGGCGATCAGGCCGAGAATCGTTGACATTGCCCCTTGCACGATTGGCAGGCCAAGACTGTACAGACTCTCCTTCACTCTGTCCTCCGGCGTTTTTTGCTTAGAGCTCATGTAAGCGTAGCAGATGTGAGCCGTGAAGTCCACGCTGAAGCCTATGCACATGATCAAATTGATCATGGATATGCTGTCCAGGTTTACGTCCCACAGAGCCATGTATCCAGCCACGCCCAGCTCGATGGAGATAATGCAGAAGGCCACCCAGAGGCAACACAGAACATTCGGGATAAAGATGAAGCTGATCAGCATCATTATGAGAGCGCCGAAGACCATACACTGGATACTGGTGGGTTTGACTAGCTCGAACTGGTCGAAGAACACGAAATAAGGGTGAAATACACTGGCGTTCAACGGAGACTCGGCGCAAATCCGACGTAGCTCCTTCACCATGTCTTTCTCTTGATTGGTCCCACTGACGTTCACCGCTTGAATGAGAAATCTGCTGGCTATAATGTGCTCCTCGGTTTGGTCGAACTTCACGTCCAGAGAGAAGCTACTTCTCGGCAACAGCCACACGTCTTTAAGCACGTTGATGAAAGTTTTCTCGTCCCTGATTTCTATGTCGGTGGCGCTATTGTTGGTGTAGCTGAGGAAACTTCTCAGCCAACTTTCCGTGTATATAGGAGCGCTACTGATGTACTTGCTGGCCTCTAGGGATCTGGTTAAGTTCTCCATTTGTTCCTGGATCACTGGGTTGCTGTAATCATATTTTCCGCTCACTACCACCTGAAATAAAGCAACGAAAGCTTTCATTACTAACGTTTCCCATTTAAATTTTGTAATTTCGCGAAATTTAAGGAAATTGAAATATCACCAAATTGAGATGGAATCTTTCTAGATTTTATAATTTTATGATTATAACTGAGACATGCAATATAGTTGTGTGTAGTTTACACAGAAATAAATATTTATTCAATAATTATTTCAAATTACTCAATGTGAAATAATCTCAGTAACCATATTTATTTTATTTTTCATTTCAAGCACTATTTTACTTCTGCAGATTGATGCAATTCACATATGCAACGAATTATTTTAATTGAAGACTAAGAAACTTTCCTCGTTTTACTCTCATTTGTCGGAGATCTAACGATACTCAAAGAAGAAAATGAAGTATAAAATTATAAAGAGCAGTTTCTATGAACTTCAAAGTCCTTCTATTAAAGGGGATGATAATCAAGCGTTTCTCAGCCACGCCTAGTTTGTCAGAAACTGGCAATTACGAGGTTCTGGAGCGGAGAACGTGAATTGAAACCAGAAAAGTCGCGATAGCGACTCGTCTCTGACGCAACGACAGTCACTTTTCTTCGGAACAGCGAAGTCGAAAGGAGAAAGTTGACCACGTAGCAACGTAATTGCGAGTGGCGAATCACACGGATGCATCTCCGGAGGCTGATCGCGGGTTTCTGGACCTTGGCCAGGAAGGACTTTCTCATTTTAGGATAAAAAAAAAAATCTGTGTTCAACTGTGACTTATAAATTAAATATAACTATGATATATAGCATGAATTATTTCATAATTATAAAAATCATTCTTAAACTTATCTCTGATTACTATTGCAATGTATAAAAATTATCAGAAAGCCTAAATCATCAATGTCAGGTATAATCCCTGAATCCGATTATTATCATTAATTTATTATTAATTGTTGTCCAATAAATACCGAGCCTTAGACTGGTTTATCATTACTGATTTATTATTATCAGTATATTGATTAATTTATTATGTACATCTAATATTTATTGTTACAGTGGATGCAAGATAGATATGAAAAATGATTTTCTTGGCTTTGGTTCTTTACTACAAACTTTCTTTCAGGAAACTTCATGATTGCACAAAAGATGATAAATCAGTGAGGAAAAGTCAGAATTGGAAGAAATTTCTTTTTCCATTATTTAACAGTGGAATATTTATCATGTGTCACAAGATTAGGCTACAACGTTAGAAAATTTGATATTCGTTAACTTAGTATGATTAATAAAACGAACTTTAATTACAGCTTTCTCAGCTTGTTCATAATACTTGAAGAAAATATGTAATATTAAAACAATTGAATAATACAAATTTCTGAGCTTCTTTCACTGATTCATTTAAAGAATTTAAAAATTTTGTTGTTCTATCCACTGTGATAAATCTATTCATAATCATAAAAATAAGAAAATCATTTCTTATATATATATATATATATATATATATA